GGAAGAAACAGCGAAGCTAAACTTCCCAGAATTAAAGGAAGATGAAGGGCTTCAGACGGAAAGGCCACAGAGGTAAGATAAGAAATGAACTACACTTAGTTAAGAGAATCAAAGAAAAGTTTCCAGAAAGAGAAAATTCCCCAAAGAAAGAACAGATAACCTATGAGGGAACAAAAATCATACTGATACCAGATTTCGCAGCAAATCTTATATGAAACTATGAGGTGATACATGAAAGAATTGAAATAAATAGATCTAGAATTTAGTATCCAGCCAAATTGTCACTAAAATTTGAGGGCATAATAAAGATATTTCCAGGAAGCTCAGAGTAAGTCCCCTCAAACACCTACATCAAAACATTACCCGAGGAGGAACTGAACACGAAGAAAGAGAAATCCAGGAAAAGCTGTGGCCCGCTGGGAAGCAAGGTGAGCGAACGCCTTTGCAAAGTCATCTTAGGGGCACAAAAATTCAGGCGTGAAGGTCAAAGGGAAGCCCCATGCAGCCATAGAAGCCCAGGTAAGATTCTAGGCTATGCGGATGTGAAGGCGGGGAGGTAAAAGGGACACAAGAAGGTGTGACGAGGAGGAAGCAGTGACAGGACCTTGTGCCCAGGGCAGAAAACGGACAGAGGCAAACGAACGTGAGTGCACATCTTGAGAACACCCGTCACAAAGGACAACCAGAACATGCGGGGTGTCCACCACCCACAATTCTTGGCACAAAATAGGTGCTCAATAAGTATTGATAGAATAAAAGAATGAATATAACTTTCTTATAAAAGCTAAAAGATAGAAAAACCCGTCCCATGAACATCAACAACAACAACAAAAGAAACAAAACACAGCACACAGGGACCACTGGCTGCAGCCTGCGCTCTGATCTGGAAGGAGTAGGGGGCGCCCCACAGTCCTAGCAATTCTGAAGTCCCACCAAGTGGCTGTGGTGAAGACCCTGACCCCAGGGTGGGCACCTTCCTGGACAGGAAGACTAGAGTTTGCTCTCCGGACTGGGCACCCTGGTCCACTGACCTCTGTGTCCACCTGTGTCCATGGCTGTGGCTGCTTTTTGGGTCCCCCCACCCCGTCCTCACCATGTCCTCACATTGCCTCAGGGGGAACTGAGCAGCAGCTCACCCCTAGAAAGTCGGGGACACAGTGTCTTTGGTCCAGCCTGATGTTTTTTGGGGGCAGTACTCTTTCATTTAATACATTGTTTAAAATTTGATTTAAGTTTGGTCAGGCTCATATTCCAAGAGCCACGCCTATAGCTCCTCTCTGCACAGTTCCGAGTCGGGAGCATTTCTCCACATTGTCACCCGCAGCCCTCTTCTCTGGACCGAGAGGCAGGTATGGGGCTTGTCGGCCTCCGTGGTGGGGGGCACACCCCTGACAAGCTCTCATGGCGACGCTGAGCTTCATGACTCAAGAGTCCTCGCCACTTTCTCTCTTAGCGGGTGAGGTTGAAAAGCTGTCATTTCTTCTCACACTGCAGGTCCCGGAACCACTCTCCCGGTTCTCCTCGTGCTCCTGCGCCCCTGCCTGCCAGTTCGCCCCTGAGCCCGCTACGCCAAATGCACAACAGCAGCAAACAGCCCCCCTGATGAGCCTTTGCTCCCAACATGTTATTCTAGGGCTGCAGGTTTATCACCTCTTGGTCTGCCTTCCAAGTATCGGGGGCTGCCTCGCTGCGCTCCCCACTGCTTGCGTTTGTCTGGTTCTCCGGACACACGGGACCAATGCACTTGTGGAAAGAGCCTCAGAACAAGGAACTGGCTGACACGCTGCTGGCCACTGGGCCCGTGAGAGGCAATGCCACTGCTCCTGCCTCAGTCCGCGGCCTAAAGCAGGACAAGACCAGCGGCCCAGCCCAAAGACAGGTGGGCAGGCCAGCTCTCCCCACTCTGCACAGCTCTTTGTCCAGTTCAGGCCTCCAATTGGATGAGGCCCTGCACGCTGGGGAGGGCCGCCTGCCTCAGTGCACTCGTTCAGAATTCGTCTCATCAGGGACGCCTCACACCCACCACGTCTGACCACACGTATGTGCTGGGGCCCGGTCAAGCTGACACAAGGGACCAGCCATCATGCTGGGTGTTGTGTCTCACTCTCTCTGGCCTCCAAGAACAGCCTCCTTGTTGCGGGCCACCTGGCCTTAGGCCGGCATCACGTTTTCAAAATTTTCAATGCAGCAACATCTCACTGCACCAATAAGGGTGAGCTGGGCAGCACTGTGGTAACAAACAGCCCCAAATCTCAGGGACTTCGAAGACAGCTTTGCCTCTTGCTCATGTGCCACTCTGGTGTGGGTCTGCAGGTCACTGGGGCCTCACTCAGGGACCTGGTGTGGAGGCGCCCCTCATACAGGAAAGTGGTGAGTCACTTGTGGCCTCAGCATCTCTGCCTGGGAGAGAGACCCCTCACCACCACCCCCTTCCATAGCCACAGCAAGCCCCAGATCACACCTAATTTCAGGGTGCTGGGAAGTGCTTTCCTACCAGCACACACCAGGAAGCAAGCTGGACTGTTGGTGAGCAGTAGGGAGGAATATAGCAGACTGAGAAGTTCCCAGGGACTGGCAGGCTTGTGCAGAGAGGGGGCTGGCCTGGAGGAGGCGGCAAGCAGCCAGGCCACTCCATGCATTGGGCACATGGGTGTGGAAGGAATCAGAGCCTCCCTGAAACTCCCTGAACTGTGCCTCTGCAGCCTGCCCTGCACTCCGGGACTTCCCCACGGCTGTCCTAATTTTCTGTGGTCCTCTGGGGCGGCCTTTGAACCCAGGCTCCCCAGCTGCTGTCCTTGCAACTTTAAACTCACACAGGCTGCTCGGAAAGAAGGGGCTCCGTGTTGGGTGATACCTTGTCCTCAACATGGCGCCTCCAGGACATGAGCGACCCTTTCTCAGGCAATCTACCTCAGACTGGTTTTGTGGAAGGTGAATGCCACATGCTCCTTATTTCTCTCTGAAGCCAAACTATTCCCTACTCCTTTTTGGGTAGTAAGAGGCCCTGTAGGGACTTGCTTTTCCCTTAAAATGCTGTGGAATTCCAAAGCCTGGACTGCACAAGGGAAAGAGATACCCTTCTACATCCTATAGATATTTCCAAAAATCTGATTTGATGGGGTGTTAATCAGAGCAGGTTCATACAAGCGCCAGTCTGACTTTCCTGGGCAGTCAGAATGGTGTCTTCAAGCTGTTACCAAGTTGCTTTATTCTCTGATTATTTGTTCTTGGAAATTCATTAGAAAGAGTCTTGTAAAACCTTGAAGACTTGACAGGAACAGCTCATCCTGATGTAAGCAACCTTCCGGGTGATCTGACAGCAGTCCTGATTGCCCCTGTGTGACCCCCTGCTGCCCGTTGTGCAGGCACCCGACAGTGCCCATCACTCAGAGGCTCTGTGCGGATTTTCACAAGGCCAGCACCGTGCACTTGGGGACAGGGCAGGGCCACTCCCCACGAGACCATCCCGCTCTGCTACCTTCTCTGCTGCATCCCTGCGAGATGTGTAATGCTGCATGTGGGAGGGGTCAGGCCCTTCCGCAGATCTCCCAGGGGTGAGTGTACTAGGGTGCCAGCCACAAACCAAATTTTAAATATTCCAGTAGCCAAAAGAGCAAAGAGCAAAAAGAAATGAGATTTATTTTATTTGAACCAATATATTCAAAATATTATCCCAACATATAATCCACCACAAATATTACCGATGAAATAATCTGTATCTTACCAAACTATTCTTTCTCCCCAGGCCTTCTGAATCTAATGTGTGCTTTGCACTGACAGTGTAAACTCTGTCCACAGTGACTCTATGGGCACAACCAGCCTGGGAGCCATCCCGGGTGTATGAGCCTGCAGGGCAGGCCACCAGGTGCATCACAACAAGACAGGGAGAAGGGTGCTGGGGCCTTTCGCAGCTCCAGGAGACAGACAGGGAGCCCCGACATGGGGGCCACTTGGAACGCTAGAGCAGGAGGGGCTGAGGGAGCCTGACTGGCTCCGGGCATCAGCAGGGCCCTGTGGAAGGGCATGAGGTGCAGGCGGACCTCTGCTGGCTGCCGCTGTCCCACAGGCACTGCCTCCCTGCAAGTGAAGCCACTCTCTGCTCTGCTGCCCATCTTCCCTGGGCCTGGACGGAACCAGAAGGGGAGAAAATGTGACTCCAGGAAGGCCCTGGCAGTGGGGCACTGCCCCTCCCAAGGCCTCAGTGGACAGGGTGCTCTCCGCCCTCCCTTCCTCTCAAGCTCCCTGGCCCTATAGGGAAAGGTGGGGACAGGAGGGAGGTAAGTGGGGTTATACGGATATGCTGGCCCTGTGATACAAAACTGCTGCCAAATGCATGGGAACCCTCCTGTCTCACCACAGCTGCCCCTTCTTGTCCCAAAGCCAGCACCTAGTGTCGCTGATACCAGGGCACCCTTGAGAGGTGCTGGAAGGCTCCTCTGGGGAAACAAAGTGTTGGGAAAGAAATAGCTTCCTCTACCCTCTAAAGGTTCTTTTGGCCAGCCTAGAATTAACTTGACATGACAGACTAAAATGAGGAAATAAAATGCTATTTTGTACATCCAGGGACTATACATGCACGAAGGTTCAAGACAGAGAGGTAAAATCAGGTGTGGAAACCATCTGAGCTCAGGAATGGGAGCTGGGCCTGGGGCTTCAAAGAGGAGGGGGTACTTCACAGGGAAACGTGACTAAGAGCAGGTGTTGGATGTTTGCCTGCCAAGCCGATGGGTTACTCAGACAAAATTTACCTCCATGAAAAACTCTCATTTTGGGAAAGACCCCCACCCCCACCCGAGTTTAAATTCTTCTGGGTAGTTAAGCGAGGGGGCAAAGTTTCTGGAGCCTGTGGGTCTTTACTTCCCTCAGCTCACAATGGGCCACATGTCAAGTGGTGCATTTGGGAAACACGTTCTGATACCCTTTCACAGTCTGCCGGGTGCTGACCGCACCAGGAAACACCCCAAGCAGCCTGGCCGTGGACTTCAGAACCAGGGAAGGTGAAGGGTTTCAGGAGGATGGCTGCGGCCGCTCAGGTGTGCGCTGCAGGGGCAGCGCTTGCCCTGTGGGCTGGAGCGGGGAGTCCGGAAGGCTGGGTAGGGGCCCCGCAAGGGGGCGGTGGGCAGCGCGGCAGGCTGGGGCTGGGGACGGGGCTGGTTCAGGACGGGGACAGTCCCAGGCTGAAGAAGAGTGCCCCGCGGCGCCCACGTCCCTACAGGAGGTGGGTCCGCAGAGAGGAGGCTGCCCCTGGTGCCCGGCCAGGAGCGCCCCGCCGCGTCCCGCTTGGCCCTCCTCCCACCTTCCCGAAAGTAACTCGACACTCGGCCCTCTGTCCCGCCCTTCGCCTGCCCAGCCAATTCCCAATTCTCAAACCCAAAAAAGGAAACTGGAGAAATCGAAACTCCTGGGGAAGGCAAGGGGAGGGCCAGGAGCATCGCTCTGCGTCCGGACCTCGTCGCGCAGTGCTCGCGCCATGAACCGCAGCTCCCAGCCGCTCTTCAGCGGCGCGCACACCGGCGTCCCCCCGACCTACGAGATGCTCAAGGAGGAGCACGAGGTGGCCGTGCTGGGGGCGCCCCAGACGGCGGCCCCCGTGACGACCACCGTGATCAACATACGCAGCGAGACCTCTGTGCCCGACCACATCGTCTGGTCCCTGTTCAACACGATCTTCCTGAACGTCTGCTGCCTGGGCTTCGTGGCGTTCGCCTACTCCGTGAAGGTGGGTGGTGCGGAGGGTCCCCGGA